GCTAAAGTTGAAAATAATATTTGATTGTTTGATAAAATGATTTGTCATCAATAATGCTATGTTGTATGAGCATGTTCTAAAAAATATCCGTGTAATTCTTATAAAATATAATAAATTTATATAAAGAATAATAAGTATCACATCAGAAAATTAAGTAATAAACGTGTTTATCACCACACAAATGTGTACCGTACCATTCCGAAATTAAGCACCACCAAATTTTGTATAATATCCGAAAATAAGCACTCCCTAAGTATACTCGTATCGGATTTTTTACTAAGCAAGTCTACTATCTGTTTCTAAGTAAAGGTATTCCCCATGTCAAGACGATTCTAATGGTGGTAAAATTATCAAAATCGGTTCGGTAGAACTTTTACAATTATTCTTCAAATTTTAGGCGACATTTACTTACATGACTGTAGATTATATAAGAAAATGCAAACAAACGTCGATTGAATTTTGAAGAGCATTACTAAAGTTCTACTGGATCAATTTGGCGATTTTTCCACCGTTAGAATCGTCTTAACCTGGAGAATAACTTTACTTAGAATTAGTAGGAAGGTTTACTTGTCACAAAATCCGTATTATTTGTTTTTAAAATTATATCCGAAAATAAGCACCACTTATAACAAAAAAAGGGTGCTTAATTTCGGAATGGTACGGTATTTTGTATTCTAGGTTAGGGTTATGGTTAGCGTTTTGTATTTATTCGGGGATTTTAGACCTGTAACCACGTGCATTGGGGTATTTCATACGTTAAAATCATGTCTGTATAAGGCATTATAATAAAACCTTAATGGTATGAAGATGATGCATAATTTGTGAAATATGTAAATCAAACAAAAAAAAGAAAAGAAATCGCTACTACAAATTATATGATCCGCCGTACATCATACAAAATGAAGAATAACACTGGGAAATAAACCGTAGATCTCCGGTTATATGAGATCCCGAAGGACCCTCAAATAACCAGGAATTTACTTCTTATTCCTGTCGTTGCAAAAAATAAATAGTACCTTTTCACTTTTAATTTGATTCCTTATTTTATTTAGTCGGCGATGATCATAATGGTTAGTGTAATTAAAATAAGCCATTTTATATATATATATATATTTATTTATAAACTCCGAAGCTTCCTGAGCCCGAGGACGTCCATTTTTTATATTTATAGTAAGTATAGTCTAAAATATGTTTAAAAAAATTTGTTTCTCTTTAAGTTATGCTATCTCGGGAAGATTATAAATTATCTTCCATTCCTCATTAAGTCACTTATTGTCCGAAGCGTAGCGGAGGACTTACAATGGATACGTAAATGCAAAATATGTCTTGGGTTCCGCTCACGTGATATTGCGCCAATCGGCATCTACCCCATAACGGACACCCTGTTTCCTAGTTTAGGAACCGTTCAACCGTTGACCGATTAACCGATCACTGCACAATTAATCGGTCATAAAATTTATGAACGGTTAAACTCGGTTAAACTTTATACATATACTAATACTGTGTTTAATTTATTCACTAAAATTCGTGAAATTGACGATTTGATTGGCTTATTATCACATGACTTTAGCCGATCTTTTGACCGGTCAAAATTAATAAAAATATAATAATAATAATAATAATACTAATAATAATAATAATAATAATAATAATAATAAGCTTTGATTGGTCAAATTTTTTTTGATCGGATCCAATCTCTAATATAATAATAATAATAATAATAATACTAATAATAATAATAATAATACTAATAATAATAATAATAATAATAATAATAATAAGCTTTGATCGGTCAAATTTTTTTTGATCGGATCCAATCTCTAATTTAGGTTATAAATTTATCCGGTAAGTATGAATAATTTGCTAATTAAAGTATTCGAAAATAATGTATGCACTTATTAGTTTTATTAGTTTATTGTCCGTACTGATTTGGTCGATAAACAATCTTTTATTCAAGTCGATTCAGTCAATATTATTCGTTAATCGAAATATTTGAAATTTATATACAAAGTATTGATTATGAATTTTAGTTTTATCTGAACTCAAGTTGAATAGTGCCATACTGTATATTATAATAGTGCACATAATCTAAATCCAATAAATCACAAAAAATTAGGCTATATATGTTCGTTACATAATTTTTATGCAATATTGGGGCCAATAGTTTTTGGTCCGTCTACAAAAACCAGACTGGCTAAGTCCTAAGACAGAGCGCAAGACCGGGTTTTAGTCAAACTAACTAACAGCCTAAATTGTGTACATGATCTAAATTTAATATGTCAGATCAAATATCGCAAAATACAGAACCAGTTTAACTTAAAATTTTAAACCACATAATATTTAGATACTTTCCCGTTTCTGGTTTTGCGCGATGATGCCGCGCAGCTACCTTATAATACATCAGAGCAAGAACAAGTGACTTGTCCGCATTATTAACGACAAATAAATAAAATACGATATCGAAATTATATTTTCGTGAAACTATATTGTAAGGATTTCGCTTTAATTTTAATTGTTAGCCATTGCTGTGCCAATAATACGTGGTTGATAAGGAGATAAGTCACGTGTTGCCGTACCAGTAAAATTCTCAATTTTCGGATACACAGTGCCACAGTAAGCCCGTGGCCTTGATGTAACTTGGTGGTATTAAAAGCCCAAATGACCCGAGCCACAAGAATATTGTGAGGCTCCTAGGTGGTGGCTGAAGGCTTAGAGATACAGATCAACCCGATGGTTGGCTACTCCTAACATACGATAAACATTATATAGACAGAAGTAATAATTGTAGAAAATATGTATTTAGAGCAATCATTGTGTTGAATATTTGAAGACAGATTGCTGGGAAGATAAGGTTGGGAATAAAGATAGCGCGGTAGCTCTTAGTGAACTGAAATGTATTTAAGGCCTGGTTCCGCCTTAGTAAAGTTTCCTCAGGCTACACGTCATCAGACAATGTCTCAGAAGACTATAAGTCTCCGCTCATGACTTAAAACCTTCGGTGTCTTAGTTATAGTTTATAATTAGACATGAGTTTTTTGTATTGTATTAGTTTATTAGTTTAGTTATATTGTATTATTATTTTGTTATTATTGTTACCTTGCATTACATTGTAATTAAGTTGATCTCCCGACCCTGCTTAAGTTGTTTCATGACATCATATCACGTGTACAAATGTTATAAATCCAGAAACATGTAAAACATCGAGCAATTGCTCTCCCAATCGATGGTCACAATAGCTTTGATTTAGAAGCCATCCTAAATTATTTGTCAAAAATCCTAAAATTCGAAAAAAAACCCTACTTACCAACTTTAATTAAAACAAATTACTGCACATAGTATCACGGAGTATCTATGCCTAACACAGACTTTACTCACTAATAATTCGCTTGGCTATTTCCACGTAGACGGTGTATCGTACCCAGGTTCTCCACCAACGATATGTGCACACAAATATCAGTTTAATCACTAAGTGAGTCTCAAGGTAATTTCGGATAGTTTTTTTTATATCAAATTATGGTAAAAATTATAATAATATAATACTAACTCAACAACTGCATATACCACATTAGTAAATTCTGTAACAGAATTCTTAACGATAAATCATGGTAGAATCATAATAATTTCAATGTAACTTATTATATTGTGTATATTACAATAAATAATAAATTATGTAAAAGAATTTTTGCAGTGATATAATCAAAAGAAACACTACATAAGATGTGTGGCCCACACATCGCAATTAAGTACTTAACAGAATTTTTTATCATAATTATAATAAAAATTATAATAATCTAATGTAAACTAATTCAGATTTATCGTTGCTAAAATAGCAAATTCTATAACAGAATTTTTTACATTATAGTTCTAATACTACTCTATCACATAATTTGTGTTATCAAAATAGTAAGTTCTGTAATAGAATCTTTTACAATAGCTTATGATAGAAATTTTATTCTTTCAACTAATTTTTTGCGTGCCGGAGGCACGGGCGATTTGCTAGTTAATAAAAAAGTGATCGTAGTGTAACGTAGGTCATACACGTATTCAGCCAATCATAAACGCAGAAACAAGATCAAGTGACACTAATTGATCACTTGTTGTAAAAACAAAGAGTCCTCCGCTACGCTCCGGACAGTTATATTAATCGTTTATCACTATACACTAGTTATGAATAAATTTATTTATAAAATGCATTATTCAATAATTAATTAATAAATTACAGGATTTAAAGAATATTACAGCATTCTGAGCTCCCATTCTTGCATGTACTTGTTATTATACAAATTTAGTTTTTATATAGTTTCTATGTAATTACTTATATAAATTACCTAATAAAGATACGCACCTTAATACCAAAAAAAAAAAAAAAAGAATATTACAGCATTTAGTACCATTATACAGTACTAACTCATATAGTGATTTTAATGACCACCAGTATTATTATTGATATAATGACCGCCAGCATTAATATCATTATTATAATAACCATTAGTATTAACATTATTATTGTTATAATAATAACCACCAGTATTTATATTAATATTGTGATGACCACTAGTACTAGCGTTATTATTATAATTGACATTTGTAACATTTTGACCAGTAGAAGTAGCTTGTCTTTGTTTTTGTATAATTTTTTGATTTTTACGCCATTCATCAAAGCTATTTGTTTCCTGAAATTTTGCAATTCCATAAAATTCTTTTTCTGGAAGGACCATTAACATAAGAAATTCTACCAAAGTTTCCGCAAGTTTCTTATTTAAAAAACGAAGATATTTTAGTAATGGAAAGAATAATGTTAATTACAACTATCAGTTTTGTATACTGAATACGGACATAGTAGCAATCTGAACGGATTGTAAATTCTCTGTCCAATTTTAATTACCGTATTGTTGCGAAATAATGCGCCGGATGTAATTTCAAAATTTGGCCTGAATTAGGCTTAATTCGGGCCATTACTCTAAATAACGCCCGGCCTGTTATTTCGCGACAATACGGTGCTACTATTTCTAAATTATGTGCACAAAAACTGATATTAATATACATCACAAGTAAATATAATACTTACAAAAAGTGCAAGACCTCCAACAATACTTGTAAGGAGAGTCAGAAGGTCGAATTGACCAATAGTTCCATGTTGTTGGAATACAAAACGAATACTGTTTTGACAAGAGGTCATCATAAAAAAAAAAGGAATAAATTCAGGAATAAGAAATACGATAATAAATAAACACGAAGAAATACAGTAATATAGTAAATATATGTGTTAATTTTCAGTATTTACCCATGTCTATTAACCAACGTAACAGAACCATCAGTAACGTTATAAATCCTTTCAACTGCTTTGTACTCATTTCCTTCAATCACTTGGGGTATATATTTATAGGTTATTTCTTGATTCTAACGTTTAAGTCGATGTTTTGTTATTTATTAAAAAAAATGAAAAATAAAATTAAAAATAAGTTAAATTATTTAGTAAAAATACCTTATTTTTGTACTCAATCACGATAACGACTACTATTCCGGAAGTTCTGCAATCTTCATGCGCAGTTTTATTTGCACCTGGAGCCGATGATGGAGCTTTTGTATAAATAGACAATCAATTATTATTATTATTATTATATTGACTCTGTTTTAAATAAAATTCATGTTTAAATAAATTGATACTATACAATCTAAATTTGCACCAGCAGCATTAAGCATTTCTCTAATAGTGAAAATGTCACCATCAGCACGAGGATTGTTAGACATCTATTTATTAACCAAAGTTAAAATATTTTCTTTTAATAAAAGTTATAATCATAAAAAATCAAACATATAAATTATTTACTCTTGTAGCATTATTAAAAGTTTTAAGCACTTGACCATCGTGAGACATAAGTTGACCATCCAACAAACCATTACGAATTGCAATGGATGTAATCTTTCCTCTTATAGAATGTTCTATCATCATCTTTTTATCAATTAAAATATATATATATTTTAATTAACTGTATATCATGAATGAAATTATATGAAATTGACACATACCGTATAATCTTCAATATCACCAATAAAAGATGTTGGTAGAAGCGTATTGCTACGGACATTTGGAGAATTTGGATCGAAAAAACACCGATCTGTCGGTGATTGAGCTTTTGAAAAGTCACAACCTGATGGTGGAGCATAATTTGTCGAGCTTACTCTTGTGGTAAAAAATGCAACACCAGCACCGTCATCAGGATATCGGACTACGTAAATTGATAGTACATATAGTCAATATAGTAAATATAGTAAATATGATAAATATAATAAATAATGTCTATATCAAGTATAATGAATTAAATATATAAAATAGATCAAATTAAAAATAGATCAAATTAATACTTACTTTCATCCGCGCTCCAAAAAACACAAGGATAAGTTCCCCCAGTACAATATGAAGGTATGGTAAGGTTATTTGGTGCTTGTAATGTTATCCGTACAGCACCAGGTACAGGAGGTTCCTTCACAAAAAAACATTAAGAATATTAAAGATGGTTATGAAAAAAAAAAATCACAGGACCACTTTGATCATTAATGAAGCATAAAAGCTTTTTTTTTCATTATTAGTCAGATATTTTTTACTTTTTATTATTTAGTCTGTGAGCACACACAATCTCGCTTATTGACAATGGTATTTTAAAGAAACTAATTTGATCAAATAATTAAAGTGGTTCTGAATAAATAAGCATATTAAAGGATAGAATACCGTCTTAAGATAAAGTTCATTTAATATTATTGTGCATACAAGATATATAACAATCACAGATTGAAATATTCGATATAAGATTCCTAATCGACGACTGGTTAATGATGAAATTCACTAAAATTAATCGTTACATCTAATAAATTGTAAAACTATAATGTCAAATAGAAACTACTTACTCTTTAACTTTGACCACTTTATAGGTTCGGTAGCTGTTGTTTCAAAGGTAATTAATTCTTGAATGAATAATTAAACATTATTATAGACAATAATAAAAATTCTTACCCAAGAATATCATATGAATCTATCATTATTTTTACATATATTTATCGAATAAATTAAGACTTTGCAAAAAATATATATATATAAGAATAACGATATGGTGTAAAATTTGGAAATAAGAAATTTTTTATATACAATAAGCAAAAATTATTTATATTAATGTTACTAAAGTTGTATTCGGCTTTTTTTTTTTTTCTTAACTGGCAAATTGTTATTATATATTGACCAAACACGTTTCACAATCTTAAGTTAATTTCATAACTGACAAAGAATACACAAAATTAGTGTGTTTGTCTATACTTTTTACTTTTCTTAGTAAGTAATATTACACGCATGATCGACGGTTTAACAAAATTTGTGATCATTATAAAAATTGTAATCCCTAAAATATAACTCCCTAAAATGTAACATTAACGCGAATTCTAGAAAATGTAAGTACGTACGTACTTACATACGTACATGCTTAAACTTTATGAATGTAATTTTTCTTATTAATCTCTGAATGTATTTAAGTCTCTTATAATACCTAATAATAATTTACATTGAAATAAATGGTTGCGATTAAAGATACACGAAAATTGCCGTTTTGCGTATCTTTTTGATACTTTGTTAATTTTCCTTATGCTGAAAATATTGTGTTATTTAAACATTACAAAAAAAAAACTTGTGAAACATTAAAATCGGCACATGCATTAATGTACATACACGTACGTACGTACGTACGTACGAACTTGCAAAATCCAAATTCCGAACTATTGTTTCAAACATTGTCCGTTAAAGTCCGAAATTTAATTAATGTTTCGAATTAGAACCTGAATAGGTGATAAAAACTATATCTTTTTTGGACTGATTTACCTCCCTAGATATATTTAATTTCATTTAACGATCTTTTTAAGATTAATGCATTTTGTATTGGTTATATATGTACTAGTACATTGTAATACCAAGAAAATGAACGATTTAAGGCCGCATTACAAACAAATAATCGAATTCAGAACTTTGTTACTATATAAGGCAGTAATGTTTTCCGCTTGTATTGCCTTTAGAACAAAATTACCTTTAGAAAATCAACCCCACTATACAAAGTTTTTTTTTTCTTTGAATTATGAAAAAAAAACACATCATTTTTACTTTATAATCAAGTATTTAATTCAAAAATATATAGCAAATTTGGTTGTCCCTAAACTGCCCAGCGTGAAAATTTGGACGCTAAAAAAAAAATTTTTTATACAATTACAATAAAATAAGCAGATTATTTTTTTTCAATTTCAGATTAGAGGAAATAATAGTAAAGTCTTTCTTTAATCAAGTTATTCACATTAATCTTAAATTGAAAAAAAGCCGGGTAGAGGGTGTTGTGCTTATTTTCCACATTTACGGTACTCCAAATTTTACTATGCCATACCCATTCCCTAATGCTGTTACTATGTTCGTGAAATCTTCTTAATAATACCCCAAATTTTGATACTGTAATATGAGGAGCTTCTCAACGATAAAATTTTGCAAGAAAAAAATTTTGTTAGAGTGTAAAAGTCGGTTTAATATGCAAGTTTTTGTGTTATGAACAATTCTAAAAATGGACAAATTTTTTTAAGTTAGGCCACTCCAAATTGATTCTTCGTTTAACATAACATTAAATAATTTATAAAAGTGGGGGGGGAGAGTACAAAAA